ATTTCATTTTTCTCATGAGGAACTAAAGAGAAAAATGAAGACATAGAAGTCATGGAATTTTAAAAGAAGTGAAGGGTTTCAAGGAAGAGAGTGATCAGAAGTGAGGTCTGTGTTTTGAACTGTCATTCAGACTCCTGGATGGAAAACAAAATTGATTCAAAGGTAGCGGTGTGTGTGCATGTGGGTGGCAGTCAGGAGGGGTTCTGTTTCCAGTTTCCTGGACCTTGAATAAGATGGTGGTTGCCTCATCTCAGTCCTCCACATGCACCAATTACTCAGAGCGTGTGCAAAGCTGATCATCTAACGTCTGGTGTCCTCACAGACGGCTATAGAAACCTCCAGGAGCCCTTAAACAAAAACCTGAATGCTGAAACCAAAGCTGTGAGCATTAAGCAACACAAAGATGGGCTTACCCTGAGGCCAACACCTACCTCAGTGTGGAGAAACCACACCAGGGCCACATGTGGTGGGCTGGTTCCGTGGAAGAGGTTAAAGTGGTCTCAGATTAAGAGGCTCCCAAGTCTTCTTGGCAAAAGCAAAACGCATCCTTTCTGCAGGGAGAACCCTCTTCTACAGTTCTCAGGATTCCCAGCGATAAACATCTTGTAAGCATGAGCTCACAAAGGTCACCGCAACATATATGGGAGAGACCACTTACGAGAGTCAGAAGAAGCCAAAACAACAGAATTAGATTCCAGATATTGGAAATATCAGACACAAACGTCGGATAAATATTATTAAATGTTTACTTAAATAAAAAATGGAAATAAAAAGTGGACGAGCGAGCAATAAGAAGCTATCGGAAACGATCAAGCAGGACCAAATAGAATGTTTGAAAATGAAAAAAAAAAAAGTCAAAATAAAAGCTCACTGGTAGATCAGATATAGCTGAAGAAAGATTCACTGACATGGAACACAGAAGTACCCATAAAGTGCCATGTACAGAAAAGAAGATGGAAGAAATGAAAGAGAGGTTAAGAAAAGGAGGAAAAGTGAAAAGATGTAATATCATACAACCAACTGAAAAGGCCACTGAGGGGAGAGGCAATATTTTACAAAGAATGTCTGAAAGATTTTCATAGGACACAAATCTATATATTCAACAGGCATAATATTTCAAAGTACGGTAAGTAAAAAGAAAACCGCATCTGTGCCCTAAGACTCAACAATTCCATTCTTAGGTATACCAGCACCGAGAACAAAAAATGGGGCTCCCCAGAGCTCCCCCAGGGGTTACCACTACCCGACTTGCAACAGTAACCCTGGGGAACATGTTCTGGGTGCCGGTGACACAGATGTGTCCAATTCACCAACAATTCTTCCAGTTGCATGCATACACGTGTGAGTTTTTCTGTGTGTGCATCTAACACTTCAATAAAAAGTTAAAACACAAGAAAGAGACACCTAAACACACCAAAGAAAAACCACAAAAGATGGAGAAGCTAATAGCAACCAGAGGACACAACTCAGGTCACCTCCTGTGGGGACAGAAAAACAGCCTCTAAAAGACGTCTGCATCCAGAACCTGCAAATGTGCTATTTCATAGCAAAGGGGAATCAACGCAACAAAAGGAATTAAAGCTGCTAATTCACTGCCCTTAGATGGAAAGAGTGTCCTAGACTGTCCACTAGGGTCCTCCTCTGTGGAAGAGCAGGCAGAAGACTGGGAGTCAGGACGGAGCGCAAGGAGGACCAACCAGTCACTGCTAGCCTTAGAGAAGGAAGGTGTGGATCAAGAATGGGAGGTCTGCAGGTTTCCAACCGAGCTTCCAAGAAAGGAAGGCGGCTGCCAACACCGAGATTCCCGCCCAGTCATACCCACTTCTGATTTTCAGGCTCGAACACCGTGAAATCCTACGTTGTGATGCTTTAAGCCTCTGACTTCCTGGTAACTCATCACCACAGCAACGGAAAATGGATGCTCACTAAGAGCAGCCTGCCCAGGTCAGAGGGCAGAGGGCAGCCTTCAACTGCGCATCAAGGCCTGTTCTCCTGGGAGGACCGGCCTTCAGAAATGGGAGAGAATCTGAGACATTTTCAGATACACAAAAACTGAGGGAATGTCCTCCAAAGACACTTTCACGAAAGACCACACATTAGAGTGAAGAAGATGGTCCCTAAAGAAAGCATCTAACCAGGCATCCAACTCTGGGCTGCAGCCCCGGCTGTGACAGCACGTGGCAGGTGCCCAGGAAACCCTGTCCAATGATCCAGACACCACTGAGACGGGAACCGAGACGTTAGCTGTGGGGCCAACAAGCCAGGGCATGCTGTGAGTCAGGAGAAGCAGAGAGGACCAGCACAGCCCGCCGGGCCCGGGGGCGGGGTGGAGCACTAGGACAGCACTGGGCTCCTGTGCCTGTCCACCGGAAGTGCCCGAGACAGACGGCAGAGAGGGCGTGTGGCCGCTGGGCTGCTCCCACACTGAAGGGCCCCGAGTGTGCCTGGGGCCTGATGTGGACTCGCAGGTCCATTGGGCCCAAGACCAGCTTTTGATCGCAGCCGCAACAGTAACAGTGGGTCCAGACGTTCACCTGAGGCTCCGTGCCACTCGTGAGGCCCAGCACCACCTCTGCTTCATGGAGCAGGGCATTCAGAAGTCAGTCCACCACGACCAAGGCTCCATGTTGTTGGGGGACCCCTGCATCCGAGGCAGAGGCCTAGACCAGGTCTAGAGGGTGATAAACAGTCCAGATGCCTTGGGGAGAAGTGGGGGGGCCTGGGAACAGAGCCTGGGGCTACTGGCCATGCTAATATTTCCTTCCTCAAGCTGGGAGGTGCGTACCATAAACCCCCCGTGACCTGTTTACTGGTGAAGCAACGTGCGATGGTCACCTAGCAGGCAGGAGCTGGCGCCTCACCTGGCCACACCTGGATATGCGGTGGGCCAGTGTCCTCTGCCCAGACAAGGGACACAACACCTCACGAAGCCTCTGTCTCCACAGGATGCCAGGAGCCTGCGGGAGTGCTGTGCGGGCGCTCACGGGGCCAAAAGACACAGTGCATAGAGCCGCAACCACAACACACAGCTGTGCCTGCCTGCAGTCACCCGAGTCATCTCCTGTGTGCTGCTGCGAAGCTCCTGGAAAAGCCCTTCTGGAGTCCTGGGCTCCTGAGAGGGAGTGGGTGCCGGCCTGAGCCCCAGGGGGCCCGGGGAGGAGGGCCAGGCTGCACACCTGAGCGCTCCCATCACCGGCTCACAGAGGCCTCCCCACCTCCAGCCTCCCCTCAGGCCTCCCCAGCCCCCAGCTCCCTGGTGGGGCCCAGAGGATGGGCGTGTGGGCCCTTCTTCTCTAGCACAGAAGATCATGCTCCAGTTCGCCAAGCAAACCTTTTCTCTCCTTTGCTCACAAATCTGTTTCTTTCAAGACTCCACTAACCCAAAGTAAAGGCCTTTCCCATTATTTGGGGGCATTAAGGCCTTTTATTCACCTCCCCAGGAGCCACGAGATGACAGATGAGGGAGACTGTATTTTTTAAGTCAGATTCTTTGGGACTTGCCTGGCAGTCCAGTGGTGAAGACTCCATGTATCCATCACAAGGGCACAAGTGTCATCCCTGGTGAGGGAACTAAGATCTCTCAGGCCATGCGCACAGTGCGGCAGAAAGAAAAGTCAGAACCTTTGCAAAATAACCTGTTCTTTCAGGGCTCACCACTCAGGTAACGAGTACTTGTGACTCTGAGCAATCTGCTCAAATTCAATTTCAGATCCGGGTTCTTGGCAACGAACCCTGGACGTGAGATCCCGCACAGCCAGGGTGGTGGACCTGAGCCACTGAAGCACTGTCTCCCGGCCCAGCTGCCATGCGTGGCCCTGCTCCAGCTCTGCCCTCCTCTGCAGCTGCTCCCGCAGGCCTCAGATGACCTCCTGTGACTCCGCGTGCAGCGTCGCCAGCTTGCCCTTCTGACCCTGAACCACGCCAACCTCGAGCTGGAAGCCCCGCTCCAGCTGCCTCCTCTCCTCTGCAAAGGCCCCTTTCATCACCTCCATCTTCCTCTCGTGGTCACTAACCTGAAGAGAGAGGAGGAGTGACGTCGACCGGAGCCCCCAGACACCGTCCACTTGATGAGTCAAGGCTGCCGGGGCAGCACCAAAACACCGGGTGGCCCAGCTTCAACAGGGCGCCGGGGTCTGTGAAAGTTCCCCCATGGCTTGTGTGGCTGCCTGCTTCCGTCACTTCCTATAACCTCCGCTGCAGCCTTGGGGGGAGGCCCTGCAGGTGCAGAAGGGAGGCTGGCGGCCCGGCAGGCAGCCGCAGGAGGAGGGCAGGAGAGAACAACACCTCCACGAGGCCTGGAAGGCAAGGCCACAGCAGGCACCCAGGGGCAGGACCGCCCCGTGGCCATGGTGACCCCTGACGAGCCGTGGACACCATCCCTCCACAAACCCCCCACAATCGAGTAACAGAGCAAGAGACACATTCACCCGAGAAGACAGGCTTGGCCAGGGAGGCCAAGGCGCCCCTGCGTGCTAAGTCGCTTCAGTCGTGTCTGACTCTGTGCGACCCTATGGACTGTAGCCCACCAGGCTCCGTTGTCCACAGGATTCTCCAGGGAAGAAGGCTGGAGTGGTTGCCACGCTCGCCTCCAGGGGATCTTCCCGACTCAGGGATCGAACCCGCATCTTTTGTGTCTCCTGTCTTGGCAACATAGCTTCTCATCTCCACAAGTGCCACCTGGGGAGCCCCTGGCACAGGGCAATCCCAGGAACTAAGATTCTGCTCCCAGAATCTGCTTCAGCTGCAACAGAGCCGGGGACTGTGACTTCCCAGTGCAGGGCAAACAGGGAATTCTGGCCTCTGCACCAGCCTCCGGACACGGGGAAGGACTCTGTTCCCTCCTGTTATTAGCTATTCCTTCTGTCCCGCGTCCTTCCGAAGAGGGTGGAGTCAGAAAGTCAAGGTCACGCACAATCCCTGCAAACCTCGGTCACCCTGAACGCGCTCACTATGGGCACACGTGTGCACAGACATGTCTCAGCAGCAGGAAGTTTCCCGACCTCTGTGGCCTCCCTCAGTCCCCTCACCTGGGTCTCCAGCTGGATCCTGAGTTCTTGGTAACGCTCCTTCAGCTGCTTCAACATGATCTCTATTTCTGTACTCGCTGGGGCTGAATAACCCACGAACGTGATGGTGCCTGAAAATAAGAGGACATGTTCATTGGTGTTCTGCCTAGGACACCATGGGATCAACCATCTTTTAATTTCATGGCTGTAGTCACCATCTGCAGTGATGTTGGACCCACAGCATGGCCAGCCCTCCTGGGCCCAGGTGACCCCCACGCCATGCATGGTAGGGGGCACACTCAAGGCTTGATTTAGAATGTGAGTGTGGCCACTGTTGGGATTTCATCCATGCTGGTTGATGGGCTGGAAAGTGAAGGGAGCAGACACATCCTGACTTCTCGCCTGCTCTTTTCAATTCCCAAATTGCTTTCCATGAAAAAGAGTGACAGACTCGAGAGTATCTGGCCAAGAGAACTCGGCATAAGCATGTGAGGAAAGAGAGCATCCAATCGCCCTGAAAACAGCAAGCTGCTGCCTGGGTCAGGAGTGGCCCTGGTTGGATGCACAGCCAGCCCAGCCTCCACCACCCACGTGACCCCTGCACCACAGTGCTGCTGTCCTGAACGCCCCTCCTCCTTAGAAGGGGTTGATAGACGCTCTGAGGCCAGATGGGGGCCAGGGGAAGAGAAAAGGCTCCAGTCGGGAGAGCGCTCTGGCTGCTTCGGCACCAACATGAAGCTCAGGGCTCACTCCGGTGCTACGACCCAGAGCCTTCCGACCACCGCACCCGGGGCGCAGTTCCTGGATCTCAACAAGGGCTCACACACTCGCAGCTCAGGCCCGTCGATGGATAAAGACCATCGACCCCTTCCCTCTGGCCACATGGGCTGCTGACACTCAGTGAGGAATGCGATGACAGCAGCCTCACGCCAACCACCCCTGGCTGAGGAGCAGGGCTGTGGCTCGGGGCCCAGCAGAGTCCACGGCTGCAGGTGCAGGTGAGGGCCTCCCTCAGAGGCCCGGTGCACAGAAGACCCACCCAGCTTCCCTCAGAGGCCCCGAGGACAGCGGACGTGGGCTGCCCTTGTCAGAGCCATCACAGGCCGTCCCCCATCACCCCCAGCATGCTCTCTGCTCCCCTCCCCAGATGACCTTCCCCAGGGGCATCTCCTTCTGTCCCTGCTGCCTTAGGAGGCTCACAGGGGACACGCCTGCCCTGAGGTCACAGCAAGGTCATCGTAACCTTCGCCACTTACTCTGTCCAAGTAGTAGGACCTTCATCCTCCTCCCCCTCTCTTGGGGCTGGGACACCTAAACCCCTGGCCTCAGATAGTACCCTTCTCCCACACAAGTGGTCCGTAGGACTTGTGACCCCTGCGCAGCGGGCTGGCCCACCGCCCCATCCCCGGGGCAGGAGCACGTGACCCACCACCTCCCAACAGATGCACCACCTCCAAGCACCCAGTGCCTACCTCCCAGGCCGTGTCCCAGGGGCAGGTGGCTGTGCCGACTCGGGGCCGTCTGTGCCTGCAGGCCTTGCAGGGCAGCCTGCAGCTCATCGTTATGGTCCTGCAGGTCCTGTGGGCAGAGCCAGACACTTCCTCCAGTCACTGAGGCCACCAGGCCCAGGAGAACGGCATGGAGCCGGGGAACAGTTCAGGCCCCAGCAGAGCGGGTTGTGACATCCAGGACAGGGAACCGACACTATACCCGGGCACCGAAGTGCTCCGGGAGTAACAAGGAGCAGGAGTCATTTCCCAACTTCTTATGCCTGGCACCACCTTCCATCACTGGATACACAGAAGGGACTCAGGGGGGAAAAAGTGCAGTGAAAATGAGAAATGGAGAAAATACAGAGAGCTTTTAACACCTGAAACCACAAGACGTAGGGGAAGTATGCTCATAAGGGGTAGGGGAGATGGAGGGAACATGAGGCTTAAGAGGAAGGGTCTCTGGGACCTTCCTGGCGGTGCAGCGGTTAGGACTGAGTGCTTTCCCTGCAGGGGACGCGGGTTTCCTCCCTGGTTAGGTGATNGCCCTTCCCCTCAGACGCTGCAGTGATCTTTTGCAACAACCATTCCAATCAGCAGGGAAAACAGTGCCAAACCTTAGCTTTATCACTAAAGCTAGTGGAGCTGAGCTATTTAAACTCCTAAAAGATGATGCTGTTAAAGGGCTGCACTCAATATGCCAGCAAATTTGGAAAACTCAGCAATGGCCACAGGACTGGAAAAGGTCATTTTTCATTTTAATCAAAAGGAGGGCAATGCTAAAGAAAGTTCACACTATCGCACAGTTGCATATATTCCACATGTTAGCAAGCTGATGCTCAAAATCCTTCAAGCTAGGCTTCAACAGTACATAAACCAAGAACTTCCAGATGTCCAAACTGGATTTAGAAAAGGCAGAGGACCTACAGATCAAACTGCAAACATCCACTGGATCATCGAAAAAGCAAGAGAATTACAGAAAAACATCTACTTCTGCTTCATTGACTAAGTTAAAAGTCTTTGACTATGTGGATCACAATAAACTGTGGAAAATTCTTCAAGAGCTGGGAATATCAGACCACCTCACCTGCCTCTTGAGAAACCTGTATGTGGGTCAAGAAACAACAGAACTGCACATGGAACAACGGACTAGTTCAAAATTGGGAAAGGAGCACATCGAGGCGGTATTTTGTCACCTTGCATATTTAACTTATACGTAGAGTATATCATGCAAAATACTGGGAGAAATAACAACCTCAGATACACAGATGATACCACTCTAACGGGAGAAAGCAAAGGGGAACTAAACAGCCTCTTGATGAGGGTGAAAGAGGAGAGTGAAAAGTTGGCTTCAAACTCAACATTCAAAAAACTAAGATCACAGCATCCAGTCCCATCACTTCATGGCAAATAGAAAAAGAAAAAGTGGAAGCATTGACAGATTTTATTCTCCTGTGTTTCAATCCCAAAGAATGTTCAAACTACCACAACAACTGCATTCATTTCACATGCAAGCAAAGTAATGCTCAAAATCATTTAAGCTAGGCTTCTACAGTATGTGAACGGAGAACTTCCAGATGTACAAGCTGGATTTAGAAAAGGCAGAGGACCTAGAGATCAAATTGCCAACATCCACTGGGTCACAGAAAAAGCTAGAGAATTCCACAAAAAAACATAACTTCTGCTTCATTGACTATACTAAAGCCTCTGACTGTGTAGACCACAACAAACTGCAAAATTCTTAAGAGAGATGGGAACACCAAGCCATCTTACGTGCCCCCTGTGAAACCAGTATGCAGGTTTCAAGGAGCAAAAGTGAGAACTAGACATGGAACAATAGACTGGTTTGCAATTGGGAATGGAGTACGTCAACGCTGTATATTGTCACCCTGCTTGTTTAACTTCTATCAAGAGTACATCATGTGAAATGCCAGGCTGGATGAAGCACAAGATGGAATCAAGATTGCCAGGAGAAATATCAATAACCTCAGATATGCAGATGACACAATCTTTATGGCAGAAAGCAAAGAGGAACTAAAGAACCTCTTGATGAAAGTGAAAGAGAACAGTGAAAAAGCTGGCTTAAAACTCAACATTCAGAAAACTAATATCATGGCATCCAGTCCCGTCACTTCATGGGAAACAGATAGNATAGAGAAGGCAACAATGGAAACAGTGACAGACTTTATTTTCTTTGGCTCCAAAATCACTGCAGATGGTGGATGCAGCCACGAAATTAAATGATGCTTGATCTTTGTAAGAAAAGCTATGACCAACCTAGACAGCATATTAGAACCAGAGACATCACTTTGCTGACAAAGGTCCATCTAGTCAAACTACGGTTTTTCCACTAGTCATGCAAGGATGCGAGAGCTGGACCATAAAGAAAGCCGAGTGCCAAAGAATTGATGCCTTTGAACTGTGGTGTTGGAGAAGATGCTTGAGAATCCCTTGGACAGCAAGGAGATGCAACCAGTCCATCCTAAAGGAAATCAGTCCTGAATATTCATTGCAAGGACTGATGCTGAAGCTGAAGCTCCAACACTTTGGCCACCTGATGCCAAGAGCCAACTCACTGGAAAAGACCCTGATGCTGGGAAAGACGGAAGGCAGGAGGAGAAGGGGATGGTTGGATGGCATCACTTAACTCAATGGAAATGAGTTTGACCAAACTCCAGGAGATGGTAGAGGACAGGGAAGCCTTGAGTGCTGCAGTCCATGGGGTCACAAAGATTCGGACATGACTGACTGAACAACAACATCACTAAAACATTTGCTTAACAGGATTCTCCAACCCAGTATATCTAGGCTGAAGATGAGTGGAAACTCTCATTTCAGCAGAGCCTGGCTGGGTCCACAATCAACTGATTGTGGCCCGAACCAGAAATGATTGGCTCGGCCTCCCTCAGACTCACCGCAGAGCATTGGGGCGCAAGGGCAGCTGTCACTCAGGGAAACAGTTTGATGAGCGTGATTAACCTAACAGCCTGCAGATCTTGGGGCGAGTTTGACACACTTGATCACATCACTTCCCTCTAGAAAGGGGAAAGGTGCAGTAACATATGCCAGAGCCACATGACGGGTGCTCAGAAAACATATGCAACATCACAGCAACGAGTCCTCTCTGAAAGCAACCACGTGGACAGGAAAAAGCGAGGGACTCAGGACAAGTGTTAGGAGTGATAACATCTGTGGACGTGAAATGTTTGTTTTTATTTTTCCTTGTGTGTGTATTTTCTAAGTTTTCTACAATGAACATGTATCCCTTAATACTTTTCTGTTAAAGTAACCTAATACAACGGCAAACGCTATTTCTAAAAGTGTACCGCTGATACTGTGTTACTCATGGAGCAGAACCCAAACACCTACATGGCCCTCGAGGCCTTGTGTCCCCCAACCAGATTCTTGGATGGAGATAACGAGTCTCCGGTTCTACGATGCAGAAAGAACTTCACCGAGTCCCTTTGGGGTGGTCGGGAGAATCAGGTCAACCAGGCTGAGACCAACGCAAATCCATTCTCAGCTCCCCGACTGATGGCCTGAAATCAGTCACCGTTGTCTTGTGGGCACGTTGGGAGGGCAGCACTGGCCGCAGAGGAAGGGCGTGTGCAATCAGGCTGCCCGCCACCAGCCGGGCTGACTCTGCGGGAGTCCACTCAGCCCACTGCATGGGTGATGCCTGGTCTGCAGGCTTCCTGCTGTGGGCTCAGGTGAGACAGCAGGGCCTCAGCTAGCAGCAGCCTGTGTCCACCATCCGCCCTGGGCCAGGACCCCAGCAAGACCTACCTGACCTTCTCCTCCGCGAGATGTTCCACGGCGGAATGGAGGTCGTCCGTCTCTTTCACAAACTCCAGGTTCCTCTGCTCAGCTTTCTCCAGGTCTTGTCTCGCCTTATCTCACTCCCTGGCCATCTGCTCCACCTGCTCCCTGCAGGAAGGAGGGAGGGATCACTGGGGACACTGCTCTGGGCCTAGCGAGCTGGTCTGAAGGAACAAACTCAGCCGGCCCGAGAGCGCTGAGCAGTGGCTGGCGCTGGGCTCTCACCCACCTCCTGTGCGTGCGTGCCAAGTCGCTGCAGTCGTGTCCGATTCTACGCAATCCTATGGACTGCAGGCCTCCAGGCTCCTCTGTCCATTGGATTCTCCAGGCAGGTATACTAGAGTGGGCTGTCATGCCCTCCTCCAGAGAATCTTCCTGACACAGGGATCGAACTCGCATTTCTCACGCCTCTTGCATTGGCTAGTGGATTCTTTACTACTAGGGCCACCTGGGAAGCCCGATCCTCCGCCTACCAGGATGGTTTCTGCAGTTATTGAGTCTGTTTTACAGAAGTACATACAGCAAGAAGCCAACTGGCTTGCAATGGGGTTTCTAGCAGGTTTCTGAACCAGGAGGTTCGAGCCCGGGGCGGGCACTGTTCACTTCTCCAGACGGCCTTAGAAGAGGTGGGAAATTATCCTCGCTCCGTCTTGCCTGCAGCTGGGCCTCGGACCCAGGAATCCCCAGCACCCAACCTGGGACTGGATGCATGAAGGGGAGAAGGCTGGCCACCCATTATCCTGCCTGGTCACAGCCTTGCCACCTGTAGCCTGGCACCTAAGTGCCAGGGAGTTGCCCAGAGCAGAGGCGACACCTGTCTCTGTCCAGTCACCCCAGGCCCTGCCCGAGGCTCGGTCCACCGGCTATCCTGGTGCCTGTTTCTCCCATTGGAGAAGCACCAAGCTTGTCTCCCTTCCTCATCCTCCCAAAGCAGTCTTCCTCTGGGCCCCTCTGCAGAGTTGCCTGATGTCAGAGGTCTCATCTGTCGGTAGCTAACGAGATGCAAAGTCTTGAGGATGGAGACCGGGATTACTGCCAACCACTTCTGTAGCTTCAGAGCATCAATAAAAACACAGTAACAATCTCTATGCCAACTGGTTCAGCAGACAGATGGCCTGAATATCCTACTCAACTGGAGCCAAACCCAATTACAACGGAATGCATTCTTGGCCGAATCGCTATGTAGTGCTTTGTGACCATGCTGGAAGCACCCTTTCTCATCCTGCAGGCTGCCTGTGCCCTGGGCGAGGAGGCCAGCCTGGCCAGTCGCACCCCATGCCCCCGACCCTCTGCAGCGGGGTTCTTACTGGCAGAAGCTCAGCTCCTGGGGGGAGCAGGCCAAGGCTGCCTGCTGGGGACCCCGCCCACCATCATGACCTTCCAGGGCCCAGGTCAGCTCCAAAAGGTTCACCTTCTCGTCCACACTGAAGTCAAGGCTCTGAAAACAGCACGGCCCATTGGACAGGCAGGATGAGTTGGTCTCCGGACACCTGCTGGCTCCCACAGGCCAGACTTCACTGTCCCAGTACCTTCCTTTTCTGTCTGCAAAGTCTCCACCTCTTGAGTGGAGCCTCTCCCCTGCTCCCTTCCCTCTGGGGTCCCTCTCCCCAGGTCCCTGTCAACACTGAGGTCCCCCTCCCACTGTCAACATACAGCTCCTCCCCTCACTCTCCCTGCCTCGGAGGTGGGCATGACTCAGGCTAGACAGAGTCCCCCTTCTTGGACAAAGGGACAGACAGAGAAGGGGGAAGATGCAAGCCGAGGACTTTGGGGACTGATAGGCTGGAGAAGGGCTTTGTCTCCGTCAAATCAAGTGTTGTATAGACCACGGGGTCCTGGGGAGCAGCGCGAGGGTGCTAGACCTGAAGTCAAGACTAAGAAGCCAGCAGAGTCCTGACAACTCCCAGAGCCGGGACCCCCAAGCCTAAACATCCTCCTTCTTCCCCAACTGATCACAAAGACCCCTGATGTCCTCCTCTTGCCCAAGCCAGTTTGAGTTGAGTTCTTGCCATGTCAGACACAGAGAATCCTTAATATATCTCTAAACAGCACGGACAGACATAGGAACAACACGGGTTCTGTTGGTGGAAACATGATCGATAGTGCGATGAGCCACGGCCAACCATTTCTGAGAGTCACAGCCATTCTCCCTAGGGATTGTGGAAGGTAAAGTTGAAGGAACAGAAAAACTGTGCTTTCTATATTTTACCACAATAAGAAAAAGAGCAGGCCAGGAAGGCCCACGCGCCTGCCTGCGGCCTAGTGATAACACTGGCGCGGGGGCTGCTCTCCCAGCGATTGGTGCTTGTGACCACAAGTTACAGACACACAGGTGGGGCCGGGCCCACGGGGAAGCCCTTCCTGTAAACCGGGAGACGGGGACTTGATTCTCCACGATTCTCCATGGCCCCGAGAGTTCTGGGAGAAAAATGACAGGACATTAAAGCATGCAGAGCACGGAAGCTGCCCCCACGACAGGCTGAGAGCACGCTTCTCAGCAATGAAATCACGGTGGGCGCAGAGGACACAGAGGTTTGGGCAACAGCTTCCAGATTACAAAAACACGTGACACGTGTGGGCGCCGCCTCCTGGTGTCTACGCCGCCTCCTGGTGTCTACGCCCACGTGCTGCAGTCACTAAGATGCCCTCCTGTTTTCCAGGGCCGAGGATCAGCTCGGAGGCTGACATGCACTGCGGGGTGACTCTGAGATACTGAAACCTCTAAGGGATTTGTTTCAGGCTGTGGGCGTTCTCTGCTGTTTACTTATTATGTTTCTAAGTTAAGATGTCCTACATATCGAGATCAAAAAATAAAGCAAAAAGCGAGGATGATGGGCCTTCTTTCCATGGGGCATGTGTCTGCGAGGGTCTCTGTCCAGTCTCCCTCATTGGCAGCATCTCCCCAATTCCCCCGCCTAGACACCTCTGCTGGCGCAGCTGCAAGACCGGCCCCCACCTGCAGGACCTCCCTGCCATTGTGAACGCCCTCCTGGGCCCACAAGGAGATGATCTGCTCTGGGAAGGCGAACCCTCTGCCATCACCCATGCTGCAGAAGAGGCGGGGGCCTGAGCACTCGGGACACGAGGGACGACAGGGTGGCCTGGCCGACACTCTCCTCCCTGACCTGCACGCGGGCACCAGCGCCATGAGGACCGCGGCCTCCTCACGCACCTGCTGTGACCTCACCACCTGTGCTCGGCGGGCGCGGCCTCCCCGACTCCTGCTGCAGGGAACAGGGTGCCAGGAGGACCTGCGGGGACTGCAGGCTCCACGGAGACGACCGGAGCACAGGGCTCAGGGCCGTCTGCCTGAGGCCGTGCGGGGGGATGCACATGCGCGGCCACCCGAGGGAACTTCTCTCTGAACAAGCAATGGCTTCCCGCCTGTCCTCCCAGAAGGTGGGCCTGGGAAGGCACACGCCAGCCGAGGGAAACACAGTCTGTGCAGAGAAACCCAAGATGGGCTTCAGAAGAGGCGGGGCGGCCTGAGCGGAGGGCACATGTCCTCCGGAGTCAGGGCGGGAGACAAGGGCAGAAAAATCCCTCAGCCGGAAAGCTGACTGGTGAGGCTGAGGTGAGGCCAGGAAGCTGTGCTTCCCGCCCCAGGGTGGACCCTGGGACACGCATTTGCTGTTGGGACCAGAAACAGGAGGAGCAGCGGCCCCTCCTCTCTGAGGTTGGTGTTACAGCATGGGGGCTCTCCCTCTCAGACAAGGGATGGAACCCGGGGCCTCTGCAATGGGAGTGCGGAGTCCCAAACAATAAATCACCGCAGAAGTCCCTGGCCCAAGTATTTGAAGGCAAATCCCAGCTGCCATGTTCTCACCCCTGAGTGTTCCGTATGCACTCCTGACCCCAGTGGGACGATGGCCCTACAACCCAACAACGACGTCCCAGTTCTCTCCCAAGTCTCCCGACAGCTGATTTCTTCAACTCAGCATCAAAGCAGAATCTTCCCAGTGTGTGTGGTCACTCCCCCAGAGTTGCTGGATCACCTCCCGCCCGCCCCCCAGTCCCCGTCCTCCTGTACCTCCATCCCTAACATCTCCTGTAAACTGGAACTTAGCACCAAAAGCTAGTTCGGACAGAGGTTGAGTGTTATCTGTTTTCTTTTTTTTCCCCAGCAAAACACCCCAAGGTGGGCTGTTTCCATACCACCTCACATCAGGAGCCGTAAGTGTCTTTGAGATGCAGACTCAGCAGCGAGTCCGGGTGACAGACGTCCAGGTTTTATACCCTATCTAGGTTAGCCAGGTGCTTACTGAGGTTTCTGAAGCTTGGCCACAGAAACACCCTTTGGGAGAGGACAGACCTTGGGGTGCCCACAAAGAGCTCCCTTTAGATAAGCAAGGCTTCAAAGCAGAGCTCCCTCCACGCCCAGACTGCACCACCCTGCCCGACACAGGACCAGGGTCCTCTGCACCTGACCAGACCCCGGCTCTCGGTCAGTGGTCTGGAGCTCTCCAGAGAGGAGTCATCTTGGCGTTTACTGTGATGACCCAACTAATAACCAGAAAGTCCTTTCCTGAGGAATGCTAGGCTTCCTTGCTCATGAATGATGCTGTATGTCGGCCTGAAGAAAACGCCAGGGGAGGGCCATTTCCAAGACCCCTTCCAGCTTAAAACATCTGAACGTTCTAGGTAAAAATGGAAAAACTTGGACTTCTCTGATGGTCCCGTGGTTAAGAATCTACTTTGCAATGCAGGGGACTGGGGTTCGATCCTTGCTCAGGGAACTCAGATTCCACGTGCCGTGGAGCAACTAAGCCTGTGCCCTGCAGCTAGAGAGAAACCTGAGCACTGCGATGAAAGGTCCCAAATGACGTATGAAGATCCTGCAGGCTACAACGGAGAGCTGACAGCCAAATAAATGCATTTCAATTTAAAACTTAAGTAAATAAACAAAGGCAGAAACCAAAAAGAGGAAAAAGCAATTCTGACACCAGGGTGTGTTCTCAGGGCGGGCAGAGAAGGTGAGTAAGTCCTCTGAGTTAAGTCTGTGCACGAATGTCGGTTCTAACCTGGATGGAAAGAAGAACCCAACCTGTTTCTGGGCAGAGAGCCCAAAATCACTCAGTGAATAACCTCCCCGGAGCCCTTTCTCTCGCCCCCTAGATTTACTCTGAGTCCAGTTAATTTAGGAACTGATTTCTGGACACAAAGAGGTCCATCTGCTTCATCCAGTAGCACAGACACGTGGTTCATTCGCCTGACGTCCCCATGCTCAGCGCTGAGCCAACAACAGCCTAGGCCCTTGAGGACAACAGT